TCTCTGTGTTTTCCTTGAGCTGTCTCTCAATTCGTTGAGATATAATTCTTTTGAATTCCTTATCAGGGAGTTCCAGTGCTGCTGCTTCTTCAGGGATGTGTTTTGGGTCTGTATCTTGGTCCCTTGTTTCTCCTGCTTTATCTTGCTTCTTTGTGTGGACTGTGATGCTCTGTTGTCTCTGAGGCATTATGACTTTATTTTGTGTGTGTATTTAATTGGTGATTGTATGTTGAAGTGATGCCCATGATTTTTGTTTTCTTTGTAATCTATACAAGCAGGGTACTGTGCTCCTCTATTTGCTAGTTGACAGCACTTATACTAGTTGATAGCACTTATACACTCACCACCTGTCTTCTTTCCTGTTGTCAACCTCTTGTATGTCCCTGCTGACCTTGGCAAACAGAGCCTGTTCTTAGGTCCTGTTTTCATTCAGGTTTTTCCACTAGTTGGTGCCTAATCCACTTCTGTATAGTTCCTTTCTTTCAAAGCTCAGGGCTCCAGGATTATCTTCTGTATCTCTGTCAATTGGTTTTTCTTTTCTTTGTTAAAGAGGATCTGTGTCACTTGTCTACCTATTCCAGAAAGGGTTCTTTTTTGCCTACCAATAATGTATGAATTTTTTTAGAAGGGAATATATTATTAAATGCCTATTAAGTGCTCAAAAAGTTACTTTCTTTTCTCTCATTGGAGATATTGGTCCTGCTAAGTTCCAAGTACTTCCTCCCACTTATTATTTCATTGTATATACAAGTTAAACTGAGTTTTGACCCTTGGTCCTATAGTATAGGAAGGAGATACTGTCACTATATTCCATTATAATGAGACTGTTGCACATAATAAGGATAAATGAAATTACTTACAAAAACTGTCTAAATCAGTGCAAGTTCTCAGGAAACAGGCTTATTCATTATTCAAGCTTACCGTATATTGGTTCAGGAGATCTTGTGGAGAACAACAAAGACAAGTTTGAGTTTGGTTCTTTAGCATCTAGTGAAGAGTTCAGAAGCAGTAGCTGTAGGTAGAGAGGAACATTATGGGTTCAAAACCAATTGAGCTTCAAGGAGCAGACCCCCTTTGTGTTGGTAATGGACCTTCTTTATCCTGTTCTCTGGAATTGATTTTCACATCCTCAAAGTCAGACTTGAGGGTAGTTCTGTTTGAGTTCACCAATTGCTGGAGATCAATTTCAAATTCCTAGCATTTTTTTGTAATGTAAACATGCTTTTTTTTTTTTTTTTTTTTT